AAAGGGTGCCCAACGGGAGCAGGCCTACCAGAGATGCTGTTGGCGGCTCCAGCGGCCGGGACAAAGGATAAAGCTGGCCTGACAGCATATTCGGCTTGTACAGTTGGAGGAGCTCGATACAGTCCGGCATGCGTCGTGGGTGGCGGTATAGCGGAAGGGCCTGAGACAGAAAAAGTTGCAGCGCGGGACTGCCTACAGAGCCACGAAGAGAAGCGCGAGGAGATTTATTGCAAGCAGATATACACAATTCTCAGCAGGGTACACGAGACTGCACCTGGAGTCCCGCCCTTAGCTTTGCGCTTTTTTAAGTGGCTTGAACCATCCTGCTGTTCTTGCCCGATTATCTCATCCAGGCTCATGTCCAGCCGCGCCGAAACTTGTTCATCATATTCCATCGTGACCAGACACGCTATTTTCTTGCCGGATGAAACAAGGCAAATCGGGCCAAGCGAGCGCTAGCGGCTGACGTCAATGCGGTGTGCGCTCGTGCAGCACGGGAATGCTGCGTTTTGGCACATGCAACCTTGCCGCCTGTGTACCTGGGCCACGGTGCTGCTCATGGCAGCAGTCCCCCAGAGTATAGCCGAACTCTGTCACCGTCTGGTAAGAACTGGACCGGCAAGCAAAGAGGAGGCTCGTCAGTGATGCCGATAAAGGTGCCCTGAACAGCTGATGTCGGAGGGCTTTCGCAACCCAGGTGCCTCCACGCCGGGTGCAGGAAGACGGCTAATGACCACTGCACAGTAGGCGTGGCAAAAATGCAAGAACCGTCTCAGTCACTGGTTCACCTTCACTCAGCAGCAATTGATGAAGCACGACGACCTTTCCTCCGATGCGGGAAATGCCGGGCTGTTCTAAACACTTCAAATCCTCATTAGATGAAAAAAATGTGCAGCCGATGTAATTATATCATTTGAATGGTGCACGATTATCGCGCGGAAGGAAGTGGGGCGCCATTATCTTGGCCAGCTTGCATGCGCTGAGGGACCCAGTCGAAAGTGTCTAGACTCGGCAGTATGGATCGTCCTTTGAGCCTTTTTTGCCAAACAAAACAGGCCAGCCATTAACTCTACAAGGAAATGCCACCTGCTCTGATGCCCTCAGCATTGACCTCGAAATGGAATTCCGCCAGCAATTTGCAGTCCAGCAACAGCAGGTTGTCGCTCATGACTCCACAGCAGCGGACCACTTCGACGAAACCCAACCAAACGCTGCACCTAACTGGATAACAAGCTTGGAAGAGGAGCTAGACAAGAAAGTACTGGTCATTTTGCGCGATGGCAAGAACCTAATTGGTATATTGAGGTCATTCGATCAATATGGCAACTTGATGCTGGAAGGCTGTGTCCAACGAATTATTGTCAATACGTTTTACAATGATATATACCAGGGAGTTATGATCATTAGGGGGGAAAACATACTGCTTTTCGGAGCCGTAGACGAGTCGAAGCCTAGCCCACTCGAGTCCCGACCTCTGTGGGAGATCCTGCAGATGCATGAGGAACAGGTAGGAGACGTGAGGACCTCAGCACATGCTTTCTGGTACTGTTTTAACTCTAGAAGCAGCCGTACTCACGTTGAGTGCATGTTACCATAACCGTTCACGGGCCAGCTGGCTAGTTGCGAAATCAATGCTAAATCGAGCACTACGCGCAAACTACAGGATCCAGGTGTGCGCAGGTTTCCATATTCGTGTACGGCATTTTATTTGTGGTCCTTACATCCGCAGGAACAACGTGAGAGCAAGAGACGGCGAAACCTGCGGCATTTGGGTGATTTCCTCTATGGTTATGATCTACCAGATGAGTGAAAAATGTCGAGGTCTGCTGAGGAGGGAGGCATTCAGGGACCAATGAATCGCAGAAGATATTTCTGGCAACTAAACAGCACGCAGCTGCGGCCCTGTCTTTGGTTTCCACCGAAGCCTGAGCGTCAACGGCACCGCTGCGTGATGCGCTAGCTGAATTTGGGTGGATTCAATAGTATACGCAGGAGACCTGCGTGAAAAACGATTTTTTGATGTAAGCCCGCTAGGAGCTGGTGGGTGATGTGCTCGCTGCGACAGGCTGCTGAGACAGTTGAATGGATTCGTACCTAGGCCTGCTTGATGGCCGTCAGTCCAGTTGCCGGCATTGCCCTGCTTCATAGGATGTCTCGGAAGGCTGCGTGACGTGAGCTGTCATGCAGTACATGGGACATAGCACCCCGGTGAGTAAAACTGCACGTGGGTGCCTCCATCTAGCCTTCGGGGGCACACTTCTGAGCGCGGTCGAGCATTTTTTATTGATGAAACTGCTAAGTCGTAGCTGTTTGTTAAAGGAATGTGGAGGGAGAAGCTCGTTCATTGTTGCATGTTGCATGCACCAACCACATATAGTTCACTGCCTAGCGATCTCGATTTGGGGTCAACTCAGCTGTATATGACTAGTGGATCCCGTATTACAGAAAAAGCTTCTGAAACACTTGTCGTCACTGTACTTGTCCATTACTGTCCTAATTCCTTCTCTAGATGAGAAGCCTGAACTGATACGTTGCGACGCTGGCGACGACCACAGTTGCACAGTTGGCTTCAACAGAGGGCTTGACGAGAGTTGCTTTTTTAAGGAACACGGAGTTCATTTGTTGTGTTGTATTAACCACATTCGATCTTGCGAATGGCAACTGTGGCGGTATGCTAAGAGTCGTAGTTCTCTAGGACCTGCTAGTCCGATCGCACATGAGGCTCAGTACACAGCGCTTATTCGACAAAGGTACCTTGTTCCGATTGTCTTCGTTCCANCAGCTGCTACATTAGAAGGGTACCAAATTTAGAAGGGAGTGCTACCCAGCTTCAGACACGTACGGCTTAGCGCGTTTCGGGGCACGGTGCACTTGGTAACGACAAATTCTTCGCTGTATATACACATAGTATGCATTGCTCCCTCAAGTAGAGCTATTAAATAGTCTCAGTTGTAAGCTTGTTTGCCCAGGAGTCCAAGAAGGAGCCATATGGGGCCAATCAACTGTGCCTTCCGTTGGCAACGGAGCACACAGCCTAATATATATTATATATACTGGTCTGCGATTGGAAACCGAGTTTCGGCAAGAAATACGACTGGCCTCAGCCGCCGCATCAATCGCGACCCTAAATACCACGTGAATAGCGTTGGGGAGGATGCATCTACTGAATGTTTACTTCGGATTTCTGGCCGGGAGCCAAGGGAGTGACGGAAACTTGCACGTACGGGTTAACAGGCCTGCTGGCCGCAGCGAGCATTTCACGTTGCATTGTGGTCATACGTTCTGTTCCAGCATATTGTGCTCCCTCCACTGCCTCTTGCATGGGTTGTTGTTGAGCTGCTTGCTCGGCCGCCGTGTACTCAGCCTGCTGCTGCTGCTGTTGCTGTTCTTGGGTCATCTGTGGTGGGGGAGTGCCCATATGAGGTTGTTGTGGGTATCCAGCCTGAGCGAGCACCTCGACAGTTCCGGCAGTAGCTTCTGTAACGTGGTCTACTCGCGGAGCACAGCAAGACGACATTGTGTAGCAGACGCCACCAGGTTGGAAGCTCCCTTTGAATTGCTCTTTGCTTCCTTGGTAGTACAAGGGAAGAAGCTGCGGGTTTCCCATAGCTTCCTTAGGCACTGGGTGTTCAATCGTTCGCTGGACATGTACAGGAACCGGGACTTCTTTGTATCGCGGCTCTATCTTTGGGCACAGATATTCTTGAACAATCTGAAGCTCGACAGGTACTGGGACATTACGGTCAACGAGTTTCTCGACGGGGATTGGTCTGTAGTGTGTCATAGGAACCTCAACTGGCTTGGGGATATGCCTGTACTGGGGAGTCATCACGTTTCTGTAGGTGTGTTGTATGTGAGGCACTTCGACAACTTTCTCCATTTCAAAGGGTCTCTGCACAACCTGAGTGTATGTTTTCTCGACCACCTCTTCTTGTTTGACTTCCTCTGTAACTTCAATTGGTTGCTCGAACGCCACATCGCGGTACTCTACCTCGGGAATCTCAATCAGCTTCTCCTTTACGACCTTTCGGGGGACTGGAATGACTCTTTCCTGCACTACAACGCGCGGTACTTCAATGATCTTCTCTTGGTAGACGTATTGGGGCACTTCAACGATCTTGTCAACCACCTGCATGAACGAATTCAGAATGAGTGAAATGCCTTGATCAGCCAGGTCTCTACGAGTTTTCTCTAGAGATCGTTCTTGTGCGATGGTTGGGCTCGCCAAGCTGCCTCTACGAGATATCACACACGCACCTTGACTTGGGGAACTTCGACAATCTTCTCCTGATACACCACTTTCGGGACGTGAGTGATACGCTCCTGGATGACGGGTTTGGGGACGTGAGTAATCTTCTCGTGCACAACTGTCTGGGGGACTTCAACGATGCGGTCTACATATTGGACTTGAGGAACCTCGATGATGCGTTCCTCAACTTCATGCTTCAACACTTCCACAATGCGTTCCTGAATGAAAAGCAAAGCACAAAGCGCTGCCACAAAGTGTCCCAAGTACGGTGATGTCTTCATCCCTACGAAGCTCCTGTCACCATTCGTCACCAATGAATCAGCTACTATCGGCGATTGCTTTCGGCTGCTGCAGTCAAAACACTCCAAGTATGTATGCTCCAGAGAGCAGGATGGAACATGCAATATTTGTGGAAAGTGAGACACTTGTGTGGCGGCTTTGACTGCCGTCCGAACAGAAAAGCTAAACGGGTCATAATTCGGGCAAACAGCTTCAAACACCTACCTGAACAAGCGGTTCGAGGTATCTTGGTTCCCCTTGTTGAGCGATGGTTCCCGAAACCAAACGACTTCCAGGAGGCAATTGTCCCTGTTGTTGCTGCTGTTCAGCCTGCTCGGCTTCGCCGTCGCCAGGGCAGCATGGCGCGCAGCATTCGCTGAAGGCCTTCATTTTGCCAGGCAATGCGGGTAGTAAGTTAGTATTTTATGATATAGTGTTGAGGAAAAGTCCAAATGCTGCGGGGTGGACTGAATTACAAGGTCAAAAGTTTGGTGGATGCCGGAGGAAACCTCAGGTGTCAACCAGCGGTCCGACTGGATTGGACCTGTCGGCACCAGCTGGTGAGATGGTCTAGCCCAACACAATGTTGTGCTGGTGAAGAATATTTATCTTGAGATATTTTGTAATTGGTTTGATGAAAGAAAATATTCCAGTCATCAATGCAGTGGTGAGGTGTGAGTGCGCAGTTTCCGTCAGGGACTGCAAGCAAACAGCCACAATAGAAGCAAACGGAAAGCAGAATCGATCGCGCTGATGAGCCTTTCGGTACCAGTAGATCGCCGTCAACGAGCTGTTGCCCCGGCAAGCCGTTGCGGCTGTGCAGGCCGATGCTCCACCCGGACCGTGGCCTGCTGCGGCTCGAGAGCGCATCGGCTGCAGCAGGCTGTGCGTGGCGTGTCGGCAGCTGGCCGGGTTTGCCGCATACAGCCATAGAGTTTCTGGGCACCTTTTTCGACCTATCACCGCTTATTATTGGAAAATTTTCTGAACAACTTACAACAACACCCTTTATTTAGCCTACAGCCTTCCTATTCCACCATTCTTGACGAGCCCACCTGCCCAACGGTCGCGCGTGGCTCGATACCCAGGCAGCCGTAATCCCGAGCGTGCCCTGTGGATGGACAGAGCCTCAACTCCCTTTCCTTCCGTTTAATCAATCAATACAAAATGTTCTCAGGCTGCAGCGATTGTTGCGCCCCTGGTGGGGAGGGCAGTCAAGAGCAACAGCAGCAACAGCAGCAGCAGCAGCAACAGCCAGGCCAACGTCAACAAGCCCAGCTGAATATCCCCTCAAATGCTCACCTCCATGCAACTGCAGAGTCTGTTCGATCTGTCACACTTGAAGAAAGGACTGAAAGAGAAAGAGCTGTCGCCATCTCCGAGCAAACCGAGCGCCAGTGGGTGAGCTGTCGAGCCAAACGGGTCACACGGGTCGATAGGTTGTGCATTTGCTGCACACAGTGGGAGAAAATAATCGAACTCTTTAAATTTTAACATGGCGACATGTTTACAGCGTTGTCTCAGGTTGGGTGGAATATCAGTGACACAACTAGCCATCACGGTTGGGCANAGATAAGACAATTTGACACCATCCTGTGTTCCTTCTGTACTTTGCGCCATGAACCTTCCAGGTCGCCATCACTGCGTACCAGCCAGTCGACACTGTCGTAAAGACTGTAGAGGTCCCCGTTGTGAGAACAGTTGAAACCTACGTGCCAAAGGTAGTGGTTGAAGAAAAGATTGTCGAGGTCCCCAAGTTTGTTCCAGAATATGTAGAAAAGGTAAGGGAGCACTCCCAATGTAAACCGTCCCTACGAATGTACCAGAGGTGCAACCGTCACTTCCATTTAAGACAAGGCTGTAGAACAGGGTATGTGTTAGGTGAAACAAATGGCTTGTCCAAACAAAATTACTGTCGCCTAACTTCCGCAGATTGTGGAAGTCCCTGAGGTCAAGGTGGTGGACAAGATAGTTGAGCTCCCCCGCTACGAATACCAATATAAATATGTACACAAGATTGAGACACAGGAGAACATCATTCAGAGACCCAAGTACGAGACCAAGTATGTGGAGAAAATCGTCGAAGTTCCACAAGTCAAGGAGGTCGTTCGCTACCAGGATGTCGAAGAAGTTGAAGAGGTCATCAGGTGAGCGCAGTGTCCGGAATTTGTATAGACAGTTCGCGCATGAAAACGCGGTGGCTCATCGAACACTTTTTTCCGCTTGATGCGATACTCAACAGGTACGTTCCAAAAGGCCAGGTGGCTGAGGAAGAGTGGGAAAAGCTCAAACAGAAACACGAAGAAGAGGTCAAGATAGAGAAGGAGGCCAGAGAGGCCCAGTACAAGGCTGAGCAAGAGTACCAGCAGCTCATTGCAGAGGAACAAGCAGCTTATGAAGCCAAGCGCATGGGCATGCCTAGCGCTGGAACTGCACCTATGCCTCCAGTAAGCTATAAGCAATGACTTTGGCAAACAGGATAGACGCATACAACTTCTACACGTAGTTATTGCGTTCCTTCAACTTAGTTTCATTAATCATGATTAAGTGCGCCTGCATACTGTGCAAATCCAGGCTCCTCGTTTGGAACAAGTCTTCAAGCCTAAGGTTGTGAAGACCGTCGAAATCCAAAAACACGTCCCGGTCTCTGTTGATGTCCCTGTACCCTATATGGTGCCGAAGCCCATTGTCGTCCCAGTTCAAGTACCAGTTCTCAAGTTTAGGGATCACTTCGTTCCAGTTCCAGTGAGGCGCCGCGTTGTTCCTCGCATCCGCTGGACAAACGAGGTCTACGAGGTTGAGTGCATTAAAGAAAAGCCTTACCTCCAGGTTCAGGACATTATCAAGCCTGTACCATGCGACGTTGAAATTAAGGTCCACGAATTCGTAGAGAAAGCACAGCCAATCAACCCTGCGGAACTTTCACAGGCAGACGTTCACGCAATGTGGATGAGAGTCAACGCCGATTTGGCGGAAAAGAGAAAAGAAGAGCTTGGAGAAAGGTATCCGTATGTCCAACACCCAGAAGGAACTGTATTCGGCGAACCTGGCAGCAAGCGGACAGAAGAAGGCGCAGAAGGAGCTGAACTTAGCGATCCCGAGGCCCGTGAAGGCGTCGAGCCGCTCGCATTGCACCCTGGCCACCCTCTAAACATGACATACCTCCAGAACGAATGGATCAAGAAGGAAACTACAGCAACACATGAAATGTATACTCCTGAGTGGTTTGAGGCTCACCAGAAGGCTTTGCACAACGTGACGATGCAGTATCCGACCCAAGTCCAACTGTCAGCTGAACAGGCTGCACGGCTGCAGCAAGATTCTCAGACCTTTGGGGAGGCACCGTGGGTTGAGGTTGATGAACATGGCTTGCCGAAGCGAAACACTCAAAAAACCGAACAGGAGGCTAAATGCTGCAGTGTCTGCTCAGCAGCATGCGGAGGAGGGAACAGTTCATGCTGCACGTGCGGCGGAGACAATTAAGCAGGAGGCTTACATATTATGCATGCGTTTCTCCCTTTGCACAGCGTCAACATAGCGTACATGGTCCAAATGTCGGGAATGCAGAGTAGCCCGATTGAAAATTTGAGACTATCTCTTTTGTTGGCTGAGCCCCTTGTATACCCAGATGCCTCATGCATCTATTCACTTCTCATGTAATGCAACTACAATCACTTCATCATTAGCTACAAACATGCCTTATGCTTTCAAGTGAGACTGATATTGTGGGAGCTAGCTACTACAGCACAGCTGTCAGTGCCTGATCGTGAGGCAGCTGGAGTTCTCCCGAAAGCTCAGGGTGCACCGTGTGTCGTCTCAGCTGCCTCTTCGCAGCCATTTTTGCATTTGTCGGGGCACCTTGTCAGTGCTCTAGTGATTTATCATTGGCAACTGCTGTGGAAAAGTCCACACGATTTGTGGTGCTTTCAAAACATTACCGATATAAAAAGATTTAAGATTTGAGGAGTTTTCATGCACTAGGGAGGCAACCGCGCAAGTAATGTGCTAGTTGGCTCAGTACAAAGAAAAACGCTTAGTGCTAGTTTGCTCAGTACAAAGAAAAACGCTTAGTGCTAGTTTGCTGAGTACTGAGAAAAAAGCTTAGTAAATGCTGTCGTTCCCCGCATACAAGATTATTCATTTTATTTCTTCAGGTACTTGCATAACCCAGACTTATAGTATTGTCCGAAGGCCTCCTCCACCATGGCCCTTGTCAATGATACGTCTTCTAGAGTGTATTGGTGTTTCGATAGTTTATTGCGGGTCTTTTTATCTTCCTGACAAAATTCAGCCATTCGCGAGCGTGCCTGCTCTGTCAGTGGAATTTTGAAGTGACTGTAAATCTTAGACACCGTGCCCAGGGGATTTTCGATCAAATCCTTGTACTGCACATCCAGTATTTGATCTTTTAGGTCGGGCCTTGNGATGACATTGCTTCCAGTTCAAGTTTCCCGAGCTCGGCAGGATTCACTGAGTCAAGTAGGGACTGCTGGGCGCACCTGACCAAGCTTGCCCAGCTGGCTAAGGTGTCCTTCGGGTCCCTGTAAATACCAAAGAAGCAGATTCAGCATCCGAAGCTGCATACTTGCTGAATCTACGGTATACGCGTTCATAAAGTCAAATGGGAGGGCAGTCTTCTGCAACTCAGTCTTACCGATGCATAAAGATAATCCTCGCATCCGGGTATGTCTCGAACAACGCGTCAAGAGTGAAGAGGTGGAATGGCATCTTCAGAAGCCAGCGATCTGCGACTCGCTGGTACTGCAGATGCTGGAGGAAACGCTTGTGGAATCTGTAGGCATTCTTCATTTCCTGGAAGTCATTGGCATACAACCACTTCCTGTACGATGGTACGTTGAATTCGGTACAAATTGAGTAGCATCTTCCGCAGTGCTCCAGCATAACAAAGTCCTCCTCTGGAAGCTCGGCGCTTTGTGCATGGATACTGATCCACTCTTCAGAGAGAGCTAATTGGCTGTCGAGCACTTCTTGTGCAAATTTAATCCTAGGGTCCTGAAGGTACTCAATCCACACCGACAAGATTCATCTGCGGAAGGAAATACCAGTGAGGGAAATGTGCAACTTGCTACACGTGTGTAAACGACTCTGGCGATTCCGGAGAGTGGCTCGTGGTGTGACGCACATGCTTCCACGACTCAGGGTCGTTGCTGAGACCTTTTTGGCAGTAGTCACCATTGTTGCCATAAGGAGCAATCATTTCACAATAACGAGCTGAGCGGTTGGATATGTCAGTTGCCATGATATTTTGTAGGAATGTCGTGCCTGTCCTGTTTAGTCCAACAATTATCAGTGGCTTCTTTATCTCCAGCTGCTCAATTTCTGGGTGCTGGATCCTCATTTTTTCCATGTACATCAGGTTCATCAGCTGCTGACGAACAGTGCGGAACATGGCCAACTTGCCACAGAACGAGGGGTTGGACTCCTGCAGAAGCGAGTCCTTCAAGATGTGCAGGGGCTTCATGAAGTAGTCGTGGTCTTCGCCAAGTGAGTCTAAGCCAGACATCCTCTTTGCATCCTCCAAACACGCTTCAGGATCCACCCGAATTGCCTTAGAATTCTTCGGGAAGAACCCTGATTGCACACTGAAAAGAGAACAACACATAAACCCGATACACTTACAATAAGCAGCATGCACAAGAATGCCGTGCATGCTTTGATACGCGGATGCTGCCAAGTGGGTGCATACCTGTAGAGCAAGGAATTTTTGAAAACATCTCTCTGATCTGGCCACTTGGCATCCGGAAGTTCCTCGAAAATGTTCTTGTTTTCTATAGGAAAATCGTCGGTGCGTTGCTCTGAATCAAACCAATATTTCCTCATGAATTGCATCAGCGGCACAAACTTGAAAACGGGAGATTCGGGTCCACGGGCTTTGACTGCAGCCAGGAATTCGTCAACGCTGGCACCTTTATACGCCAGCCCAAGTTCTTGACTCCAAATCTCCAGGTGCTCCCTGGGGATACAAAATAGACATGCAGAATGTCAGTCGAGTGCACGGAGCCTTCCCCAAGTCCCATTTTTACATTTCCTTCCCTGTCTGAATATTCGTTTGGGTCGAAACTCACCTTGTTATGGCACGCGGGTCAAATAGATGATAGATGAAGTGCTTCGGTTTTTCCAAAAATGACACGCCGACCTGCAGTGTCACATGCACATTTCCGCTAGAAGCTCTCTTCATGAGGGTATCCATCCTACTCGACGACTCCCCTTTATATTTGCTGTGCAATATGCAGGATTGCTTACCAGCATTTCGCATATAATATCGACTGGGGTGAGGGGAGCAGCGGCACATCCGACAGGGAAAATTCCCTCTTGAATAGTGGACACCATGAGTGCTGTCGCATAGTCTGTTCTGTTCGTGTAGCCCGTAGAGTAGGCCACGTAGGTATTCGGCAAGCGATATATGAACACAGGCAGACCCTTATCCCTGGCGCTGCACAAGACCAACTCAGCTGCCCACTTTGACCAAGGATATCCCATCCTCAACGGGGGGTAGAAGGCATCCATTTCCTCTACCGTAGGCCTGCTGTCTTCAGTGATACGGTAGTCCCTGTATGCCCCAGTAAATTCACAAAAGAAAGCTGGGAATTGCCCTAGAGTAGACGCAAAGTGCAGCGGCTTCAATCTATTTCTTGTGCAAAAGTTGACGATTCCTTGGATGCAGAGCACATTTGAAGAGCGTAGTCGCGCGTAGTTGCTGAGTAGATTCACATCCCCTCCAGTGTGGTAAACTACATCAACTGTTTTGGAGAGCTTTTCTATCTGATCTTCTTCAAGACCCATGTTCGGGAGGGTGAAATCACCAGGTAGAGGGCGGATTCGACTAGAATACTCTTCCTTCCAGCACTTGGCTTCTTTGCACGCCTGTCGAATCCTATCAAGAGCGTGATTCGCGTCTTTAGCACGGACGATGCACACAACTTCCATATCTTTAGTTGCTTCCAGGAGAACAGAAAGCTGGATCCGTCCAACAAACCCTGTGGCTCCAGTCAGTAGAGCGATTCGGTAGTTATCCGGCGAGGTAGGCGGTTCCACAGTCTTCACATCGAACGTCAGTTGGTTTATCAATGACTCAACGTCTTCTTTTGGGTGAGGCACCCTGACTGCCAACCGAGGTTTTCTCTTGACTGCAGCTGTTGCCTCAGCACGGCTGGCAAACGCGTCTCGAAGCTCCTCCCATGCTACGTTTAGCCGGTCGAAGTCCTCCGAAACAGAAACTTCCAGTTTTTCTAGTGCACCCACGATATCTTCTACAGCAGCCATCTCGCTGAGGGATCCATACGATGCAGTTAACGAGTCCACATACAAGGCATATCGTTCCGCTGGGACAAGCACAGACATCAGCCACTGGTCGATGGTCATTTGCAGGGTGTCCACCAGCGTTCCTCTGGTACCAGATGCGCCGTCGGGTGATTTGGCCCTGTTCAGAATGTACTCAGCAATGTCCTCGACACTGGGATTCTCGAACATTAAATTCTGTGGAAGCTTCACTCCAGTTTTCTCTGCAACCGAGTTCCGGAATTCCACTGCACCGAGGGAATCAAGCCCTAGGTCAATAAGCGGGGTTGTTGCATTCGGCTTTTCAGTTGATCCAGAAACAGCCTGCGCAACATCGACGAGAATTTCGACGAGGGCTTCTTTGCTTATGGAATTAAGGTCCACTGTGGAGCTAAACGCCACTGCCGTAGCCGTGGAAACATCTGAGAAAAACGGTGGTGGGTCGAAAGCGTAGCGCCTGAGGAATTTGCGCCACATCAATGCCTGAGCGCACACTACTGCTTGTTGGGGACTCTTTAGCACGTCCAGCAGAACCCTTGTTCCCAGTTCATTGCTTATTCCCATCATGCCAGCCTTGTCAATGTGTTGTCTCAACCCAGCTGCCATTCCCTGCTCGACCCATGGTCCCCACTGGATGCTCTGTCCACACAGTCCTATGGATCTGCGCCACAATGCAAGGGAGTCAAGGCAGGAGTTGGACGCTGCGTAATTCGCCTGACCGAAGTTTCCCAAAAGCGCAGCAACTGAAGAGAACATCAAGAAAATTTCGAGGTCCTTGTTCAAGTCCAACTCGTCGCACACCTCGTGCAGATTCC